GTTGTAAATTCATTTGTTAAACGATGCGCTCATAAAATTCCGTTTGCTTGTTAATTTTTATCCTTTTATTTATTTTTTGCCTTAACTTACGAGTATTGTTAAGTTGACTTCCAAATGCGATGCTTGGAGCACTTTTTGTTTAAGATGCAGTGCAAACAGTGCACACTGGCAGCAAAGGAGGCGTTTATGTGTATACAGTTCAGTTTTAGTTTTGTGTTCCATACCAAGATTGCGTACCACTCAACTGTGCTTGGTAACAAGCGTATAACCACTAACCACATTTCTTATCCATAACAATAAAACGAACCATATGAGAAGAGTTAAAACCTCAGTTTTTAGAGGTAAAAACTCCAGCAGCAGCATAATTCATTTGGCGATTTATTAATATGGAACATTTGCACTTGTGCTGGAGGCTATAAAACTGACTAATGACTTTCCTGTCCTAAGTAAGTAATCAGTAATCGGTTCCACACTATGATGAATAATCGTTCAATGGAGAGGTATATCTAAATACCAAATATAATTGAATGAATTTAAATACATTTTAGAATTAATTCATAAAAACGGTTACTGAAAAGTTACTTGTTCATTGGTATTTGAGTATTGTAAGAATAAGAAATAAAGACATATATAATTTATGGTAATTCTTTATCGTTAATTAAATTGCTCACTAATAACATATCAGGAGTTCTACTCTTAGCATTATCGCTTAGTTCTTAACTCCACCTTTGAAAAAAAGTCACTTTATAAAATTGAAAGAATACCTCAAATACATTAAAAATTGTGTTCCAAAATATTCAAGGAAGTTTTATCAAATGAGTATGAAATTTTGATGTTAAAAGCATAAAACTCAAATAGAACTAATTTTACCATACCATACCATACCATACCATAACAGTAACAGAAATGAAATTTATGATAATTACTACATAAAACTAAAATACAGTATTGTATATTTATTCCTGGCAGAACAAAAGATCAACTATGGTCGCGGTGCTCCGCTCCGTTAGGATCCGGTACCTTATTTATTTCTATTCCCTATATATTCCTACTCTTATCTTAATCAAACAAATTTCGCATGTAAATACAATCTATGTGATTTTTCCTAGGTTTTTTTGTCTTTAATTAGAATTTAAAAAAATCAAACTTTATTGTATGGATACTTTCATTAGGAGTGGGACTAACTATTTAAAGCAGTAAAGAAACTTCCAGTGAAATGTGTTAAATATATATAATTTTATCAACTTATCAAAATAAATGTATTACTAGGAATATGTCAAGCTGTTTTTAAGACTGTAATTTTCTGGGGATAATTCACAATATATTCTTAGAGCGGGACCTCAATATTTGACTCACCGAAGTAATTTTGAATTTCAATTCTATTTTTTAACTTAATTGTAAATAATAAAAAATATTTTAGTGTTAATCTACAGTTTAATAGATTTGTAAATGTTTTTTTGATTTAATAATGAGAAACAACAAACTTTAATATAAATTATTTCAGAAGTTAAAAAGATCATTGTTAACATATAAAATCATATATAATTGTACTATGAAGTTCTCAAGAATGAAAGATGTCTTAACTATTTAAATGGTTCCGAAATTTGTTATATGAATTCAAAGTACAGGTTCAACGTTCCATATATGCAATCTAATTTCATGTACGTACATCAGATAATTCCAAGTATCTATAAACTATCTGCTTGGCCTGTTGCACATCTATTTTCAGTTATCTTTTATTAACCCCTAACTCAAATCCATGATAACTAGCCGGTAAAAGTCTTGGTTAAGTTTGTGAAATTAAACAATAACATTTGGTGGTAATACTCGAGTTAAATGGACTTAGATAAATTTGGATTTGATTAAAAGACATTAGTCTTTTTCTTTTATGCATTTTTTTTGAAATAAAGCTGTCAGCGCTCTGAGCTTTATTATTCATTCCTAAAAAGTAATTTAATAGGATCAAAGTCTCACTTAGTGACTTCTTAGATGCTATATATTTTAGATCATAGTTTTCATTGAAATAGTATAAAAAAAATAGCACATTAAACAAAGTGTCGTAAAATGATTAACATTTCAAGCATTATTTAATCTATATACGCTGATCTGATGAATTAAGGTATAAGCAAAGGTATAAGGATTAAAAAAGATATAAATTCTCGTTAGTAGCGCTCAGATGGTTACAGATATTTATTTTACTACCGGATATAAGCAAAAACACTAGTAAAGAGAAATTTTATTATCATTTTCAAAAAAAAATTTGGCTATATATTCATAGTATTATTTATATACATCAAAACTCAATTCATTGATTGTGGAATTTCTATTCGAAATCACAATTCAAAATTTATTTTTTGCTATAATTTCAAAATTTTGAATTATAAAGCTATGATCACTTAATCATTTTCATCTGATTGAACTTACTATTCAATTAATTTAAATGTACTACATACTTTAGTCGTATAGTGAAAGTATTAGTATAAATGCCAAAAATTGGAAATGCATCATTATGTTCAACTTCAACATTTATTCATCCATTCATATATTTTAATTGAACTCACCAGCTAATCTCTGAAAATACAATCCCAGAATTACCCAATATATTTGTACAACATAAAATAAAATACAATATTTTAAGCCTCAGAATCCAACCCCCAAAATCAACCTTGAATGAAATATATACAT